TCGCGCCCCGTCCCTGCTCCGCTCGAACCGCCCGAACCGCGTTGCTCCGCCTTCCTGCCCCATCCCGCCCCGCCCCCATCGAGCCCGCGAAACACCGACGCCTGTCGACTCTCCTGCATCCTGAGCGCGCCCGCCCCTGTGCATTTGATCACCCCTATCATGCCCTGAACCCGCCCACTCCACCCTATCACGCCCGTTGCGCGCCGCCGCTCTGACCTTATCCTCGCGACCACCGAACCCCGCTTGCCATTAACCGCCCCTTGCACTCCTGCAAGACGCCCTATGTCCGGCCGCTGCGCATCTGCACCGCGTCCTCTCGCTCGCCCTTTAGCTTCATTACCTCGCCCGGGAAGCCGGCCGGTGCGCGGCCGCCCTGTTGACAAAGCGTCGGTCGCGCGGTGGGGTGGGGGTGGGGGAGCGTCTGGGGGGAAAATCGATTATTAGAGGAGCAGCTCGCAGTCATTTCCGCTCGCGCTCGCCCTCCGACTCCCCGCCCTGGCATGCGCCCGGCTCCTCCTGAATCGTGGCTTCGGTTCTGTTCGTCCTCGATGATAACGCCCGGGACGTTATGAAGTTGTGAGGTGTTATTGACAGTGAGGAAATGACTACATTGTAGAGCGTCAGGTAGCGATATATACATTATGTGTTGATATCGATATGTGACTTAAAATAACCAAAGACCGAACATTGTGCAATAAAAAATTGATAATATTTTTGACATTGTATAAGTACGTTTATAAACCATGCAACGATACGTGAAAGTATCTAAACCAATTACTTGATAGGGGAGTTTGTGTCCCTGACGACAACAAAAGTGGCAAATATGAATGGGGAGAAAAGCGAATGAAGTACTACTAGCAATTGAAATTGGGAGTATGTATTTTCGATAGCAATATTTTAATGTTGGTACGGACTCTCGGGAATTCGAATTTGGATGCCAAATATTACCGCAAGAATATAAAACTTGATGTATCGCAACAAGTGTGACCGGAGGAGGAAAAGAAGCAACGCGCCGCGACAAGACGGGCTGCGCGGGATGTCCCGTTGCGCGACAGTTGCGTCCGCCCGGCGGAGACAGCCAACAGCCAACAGCCCGCCCGCCGCCGCGGGGCATCCAGCGGAACGGCCCGCGGCCTTGAGGAGGGAGCGGCGGGGCCAGGGAGCCAGGGCGAGGGCGGAGAAGGGGGCGGGGTGTGGCGGGACGACGGTGCGGGGGCGTGACGCTCCGCTCAGGAAACACGTTCGCCTTGCCTTGCCGCCCCCCGGAGCGGAGCAGGGCGCAGCGCAGCGCCCTATATTGCTGGTCATTGGCCCTGGCTACAGAGTAAGATCGGGGACCAATGAAGTCATTCGGGGTAGAGTAATTATAATACTATTTTGAAATGGCTAGGCAAGGGAGCAGGCGACTCCCCACATTTAATCGCATATACCTTTTCAGTTTTTTTTTTTGTTTTTTTTAATTATTTTTTTTTTAATTTTGGTTTATACCACCGCCATTATTTTTCACCGTCGTTATCCTGACTTTACGTTTGAATGTCTTCACCACTTCACCAAACCAACACCGTCTCACTTCACCAAAATCACATTTTGCCACATTTGCACCTCTGCCCTCTTTACATCATTGCTCACTCGCTGTCTCTTAGTGGTTTCCTGTGTAACCAGTTGCTCTCAGTCGTGGTCATAGGCTTCAGAAGGTCCGATGTAAGGATTGTTCTGTTACCGAATATTGGATAAGTTAATATTAAAAAAAAATAATATTTTGTTTTGTTTTTAATTTCTCGCTTTCGCATGGTAATCGTGCGCCGAAAATCGGCGATTTTTCGACAGTAAAAACTCGTATTGTCGATTTAAAAACTCAGATAAATCTTGTTCGTAAATGTAGTAAATTACTTCCTTTAACACGTGTAGTCAGAGGTTTTATGGGTTCTTGACAATGAAAAATCTATTGATGGCCAAACTTGTGTGTCCATGTGCCTGTAGTCAAGCCTAGCCCCTAAACCTTTCTAATGACTTCTTAAAATTGATACTCCCAGGTCGATTTGCACCAAATGAACTCAAGGCCCTGACAGTGTGAAAAACAATATTTTGATTTTGGGGGATACTTTGCATAAAGCCTCAATATTTTAAAACTTTTCTAAAAAAATAGCCCCGAAGTATTGTTTTAACTTTGTCCTCAGAGAGCGTAAAAAACGCACACAAAAGGCACAGGTTCAATTTCCGTTTAAAAAATATCGATAATTGCGAAAGTTCATTTTTTTCCTGCGTGTTTTCCCAACCACTATGTTGAAGATAGAGAATTCTTCTTTAATGAAATTTGCTGGCCAAACACATCTTGAAATGAGGCTTGGAACAATTTTTCGAGAATATGATTAGTTTTTCCTTTATTTACGTGAAATATAGGTAATTTTTAAATCATTATTTTCTCAAAAACGGCTCCAAAGGTTTGCTTTAATTTTTTTTTTTCACGGATAGAGGCAAAGAATGTTTCAAAAAGGCGCGGGACTCATTTCAGTGGAACTTTCTGAATTTTAGAAAATTGCGAAAGTTGGATGTAATGCGAAAAGTATGTGCTGTTCCAACACTGCTATTTTCTTCAAGGAGAGATAATTTTAAATGCTTCAAAGGTGTGTAGTAAACTCTCTTTGTATAAAAAAAGAAGTCTTTTAATTCTTGACGGCTTGCAAGAACGTGTTTGCAGAGCGAATCATCGCCGTAGTACGAATAGAAAGCCGATTAAGCTGGCATAACAGCACAACAGTCGCTAATTCTTTCCGGCGGCCCCGAAATGTTTTTTTTGTGTGTGTGTGTGTGTGGCGCCGTGCTTCGAGTGGGCGTGCCCGTGCCCGTGCCCGTGCCCGTGCGCGTGCCCGTGCCCGTGCGCGTGCGTCAGGGGCTGCGTCGGTGGAAGCGCGTAAACAAACGCCGCCACCGCGTGCTCGAGCTGCCCGCTGTTGGCTTGCGGACATGCACGGTTGGCGGTGCTATTCTTAGTGGCACACGGCCATTACTGGGAGATGCATACGCTGTGAAAGTTCGTATTTGAATGGGATTAAACGATTGACTGGTGTGTCCGGACGCGTCCACTGCTATGGTCATTAGCTCCGATGGTCGTGTACACGTTTTACCTGGATGTTTAGGCGTCCTTCCTCAGCTGGAACGGGATATTTGGCGCCGACCTATTTCTCGCGGCTTTCCCACTCTTTCAAAGTATCTCTACCCGTGGAACACCGAACCGAACAAGCTTTAAGGTAGGTAGTGTGTATGTAAGTGCAGGTTTGCAAGTTAAAGAGGAGAGGTCGGGGCGAGAGCGAGGAAGAAAATTTTGCGATTCGTGGCTTCTTTGGTATGGCTCAATAGTGTTGATAGGAGAAACCACGGAAAACTACCAATCAGAGCACCTGGCCTCCTGTACTCTCCTCTAGACGGCCGAGCGGCGTTTGTTAATGTCGAAAATTGGAAGGAAATGTTTTTAAAAAATGTTTGCATCTTTCTCCTCCTCGAAGTATTTTGTTATACTTTTATTTCTTTTCTTACCCCATTGCTTTTTTTTTTTCGCACAGGTTTTCATAATTAGTCGCGTTTTCTTTTCTTCCATTCTGTTTGATGCTGTGGTTACGTAGGAAAAATTCCTGATTTTAAATATTCATTATTTTGGTGGTCTATTATTGTGTTTATATTTTTATCTTGAACGTCCAATAACAAAAAAAAAAAAAGAATCGTTTTTCCCAATAACCTTTCAACGTTTCTTATTTAAATAATATTTGTTGTTATCGACTTCGTTGGTTGTTTTTTCTTCTTGTTACAGACTCCCTGTTTCTTTCATTTATTGATTTTCCATTGCCGACTTCGTCGTGTGATTCTGACTGGTATGACTTTCGGTTTTGCTTTCAGTCAGGACGTAGAATAATTAGTGTGCCGAGTGTTTTGGGTGCCACATATAATTTGTTTCTTTCAAATTATATCTCTTATAATCCATGATGTATTAATACTTCTTTTGTAATACACCGAGTAAAATCGAAAATTATAAATTTTGCTTTGAATTTCTTAAAAGATCCAAACTTGTAACGTTTAAATATATAGGTTTAACCGCAGTATTGCCGTTTGGTCCTTTTTTTTCACTCAAATTTTGCGACCATGAAATGTGGTATACGGAAGTCCCCCCCTTAGACAAGACACTGTTCACGAAACACTAGAAGTGTCGTCAAGTTACTGCTGGGCTCTCTCCCTCTGTTATTGACCCCCACCTCAGCTGTAGCTATTTACGTCTCGGCGAGAGGAAAAAAATGGCAACATCAAAATGAGCGTTTGTTCGCTTTGCGCGCGCGCGTGCGGAAGTGCGAATCGCCGCGTCCAATCGGCGCGTCTTCATCTTGGTCTTGTTCCTCTTCCGCTGCGAAATGTGCGTATCGCAGCGCGCGGCCGCGGCGCCTGGCGCCGGGACGCGCCCGGGGCGGCGGCGGATGCGGGCCGCGTATCGGTGGCTTCCGCGCCGCCGCCGCCGCCGTCCCACCCCCGCGACGGCGCGCGGCTGGGGGCGGGGCGGGCGTGCGCGGAGCCGCCGCAGTCGCGCGCCAGCCGCCGCCTCCGACGGGCGTCGAACGACCCCGCGCGCGCGCGCCACGAGCGTGTATATGTGCAAGTGTGTGTGTGTGTGCGCGGCGAGCGAGTCGGCGTGCATGGAAAGCGCGCTGCGCCGCGAACGGAAAACGTCGAGGACGCGGGGAGGCGCGGACTCGCGGCCGACGGACTGGCAGCCGGGCAGGCGAAGAAGGCTGCGCGAGTCGGGTGGATGTGGACGTGCCAGCGACAACGATGTCTGTTGCGCCTCGGCGCTGTCACGGACTCGCGCTCCAGTGATGGTCGTGTTCGCGAGTGTGTTGCGAGTTGACAGTTGTTGGCTGAGTGCCGTCAGTGGGCGTGATCTTTCTTGTGCAGAGCGCTGGTAGTGGTTGACCTTTAAACCGTAGCGTTTCTATCGATTTACTGGATACAGTCACCGGATGTCAAAGGTGTTGGAAGATAATGAACTGGCATTTGTCGACTGCACAACCTTCGCCCACAAAACTGAATCGAGGGATGACCTGCCTTCGTTGCATTTCTCAGGAGCGTATAATAAACGTGGAAGGAAAGCTGGCTTTGGATCTACAGTGTTTCTGCTGCAAATGAATCTAGATAAGAACAGTTAGAAGCTTAGTTGAACTCTACCTAGAGGTGCAAGGCGTGCGGTGACCAGCAGCGCAAGTGAACTGCCCCGTTGCATCGATCTAGGCTAGGTGACCTGGTAGGTGCATTGCAGGGTCGCGTGCCTCCGCACGAGTAAACGGCCCAAACCATCAGAGTCGAATGAGTTATGAGCTCTACGGAGTCTAACGGAATCAGAAAGCAGCAGGAGCAGCAGTGCAGACCAACACACAGTGTCTAAATTATTCATGTGGGCACCGATGCCGCAAGAGCAGACTACAGTGCATGACAGTTTGACTCTGTAATTCTATGGAACCTTGCTGTTCTATTTACGGTGTTCAAGAAAATTAATCATTTTCTGAGGCATTCATCTCCAGTGTTAACCATTAAGCAAGTCGAAAGAAAAGTAAAACGCAGTCATATCGATCCCATTTACCCGACACAGACCAAGGGAATGCAAGCGTAACATTGCAGCACAGTGTTTTAGTTTATCGGACGAGTTCGGTGTTTATTCTGACATTTGTACAGGCATAGCCAGTTGGAAGTCGTGCTGAGTTCAGGTAGCCACAGCTGGTTCTGTGGGCCTGAAAACCTTCGCACGAGGCGGTCTGTGCTGTCATATCTAAGAACAGTGCACCCCAAACGAACAGTCATCAGCAGCCTGCATTGAAAATCTCGACATCGAAGTGAACATTTATAGTGGAATCAATCCTTCGACATTGACTTCAGTGGTACTGAGCACGCAGTACCCAACTACCACTGTGGTCCCGAAACGCATGTACACATCACGAGTGCATCGAAGTCAGATTTGTGCCAAGCACGTAGTGACAGCTTGTACAGCTAGCCCTTCTACTAGTACGGAGTTTTGTATGGACGTTTCAGCTGTAGAATCCAACTACCGAGGTCAAAATTGCGTACGAACCGCAATCGTGCGTGAGTGTTTGAACGACGACCGATCACCAGTGCGTCTGGCAAGTGTGCCTCGCCGCCCCCGTGAGCACGGACAGCGCCGAGGACGAGCCGCTACAGCGCGCCCGTACGGTGCGTGCCTCGGCGTGCGCTCGCGGGCGTGTGAGGGCGAGCGTGAACGTGAGCGTGAGCGTGTGCGGGCAGGGCGGCACGCTGGCGCGGCGCAAGAGCCAGCTGCGGCTGGGCGGGGGCGGCATGAGCCGCTACTCGGCCGAGGACCTGAGCGCGCCCATGTTCGTGCCCGACGAGCCCTTCTCCTACTCGTGCCTGCCCATCAGCCTGCGCGGCTCGGGGCTGCTGGCGCGCCGCATGCGCCGCTGGGGCTCCGCCGGCTCCTGGGTGAGTGGATGCGACGGGACACCCAACGCGCTGTTTTCGTTTTTTCTGGCCCCGGCGTTTCTCTATGTTTTGTTTATTTAGTAATAGTGTTATAAACTTCAGTGGTAATAATCGATCTAAAAATCTGGAATTACGAGATTTGTTCGCAGCGACAGTTAATTTTTGCTGCGTATATTTTGATTTATGTAGTAATGTTTTTTTTAGTTAATTTATCAGATGTAGTAATGTCTAAATCCTACGTTTTTGTCTCGATCAAGCAACATTGTATTTCTGTTATCGATTCTATTTAATTATTTAGCTACGTCTATTTAACTTTTTAATTATTTATCCATGTCTGTCCAAAATGTGAGTTCCTGTCACTGTCTACGGTTATTCTATTACCAATGCTTCGATTTACTTATTTATTTCGCAACATTTTTGTCTCATTGTTAATATCCTCATTGACGTTGGGTTTTGGTCCAAATACGAAGCATTAGACTCTCACAACTCACTTCTTCAGCTCAACGCATTGATCTGTGTATTCGCTATCTTGTGACATCTCATGATCGATTTGTATCGACATGTATTTTGCTCTATCCTGTTGTACGGACAGTGTGGTGCGAAACATAGTTGACAGCTAATGCGAAAGGTTATGTGCAACATATGTCACGGGATAATATTCGATTTACATATATGCAGCCCTTCACAAAAAAGCGAAACGTCAGCAACAGTAAAATAAAGTAAACTCCATATATTTGGACTATTTGTTTATTTTTTACTTTCATTCAAAAATATCAACTGCATCGTTGCTTTAGTGGGGGGAACCAGCATCTAAAGCGATACTAGGGACTATCTGAACATTTCTTCTCTGAATCGTTCGGGAATGGATCGGAAAATCGTATGTTGGAAAATTGTTGAATGGTAGAGATTTGGTATGAAATATATATTTGATTTTGCTCTGGAAGAAATGTTGAACAATACGTATCCGTAGTTTTTGTGATAGAAGCATATCAATTAGCGAAATATACCATAATTTATTCGCAAATATCATCGTTATCAACTCATTCATTTTTTGATACTATAAAATATGTAAAAACTTTACTATTTCTTTTCTGATAAATCCGGACATAATTCAGTCTGTTATTGATTTCGCTCGTAAAATTATTTCGTTTATATGAGAATCTAAATACACGTTTGTAGATAATGTCAGCTCTCCGTTAAATCTCCGAGATAAATTGCTGAATGCAATGTGCGTAATCACGAAATAGCTTCACGCTAGTGAGGAATGTATTCATGTACACTTCTACTGAAACTATTCCATGCCTCTATTACTTATCTGGATTTTAGGCCTACTTACTCTGCAATGTGAGAACTTCTCCCAACGTAACCACTGCAGATGGATACCCTAGATTATTCTCAAATTGATGGCAGTCACTGATAGTTCAGTACGATCTTCAAGTAAGTGAAAATTAAAGTCTGTCTTCAACGATGGCTTAACGTCACCTCTCAGCCACACTTTTGATTCTGAACAACGATAATTGAAATTTTCTTTAATGAAAGTTGTCCAGATTAGAAAGAGTCAACATTACCCTGTAAGCTCTTACTAGCACTTTTTTACCTTGATATATTTGTAGTAAATAATGAAGAATGAAGCAAGGAAGACAGCAATACTGGTATGATTTAAAACGGCGATGCAATTGTAGGTGTCATGGAAATATGATTTGTCTCTATTATGCGTATTTTTTTTAAATAAATCATTTTGAATTTTCAGTGGACATACAATCTGAAATTTTGAGTTTTCATTAGTACGCATAGTTGTATTTTGCCACATTGGATCTCGTAACAAATGACCCCCATATATTGATGAACAATTGCCTCCATGGCGTGTTCATGTGTCAACATTCGACGGAAAAAACTAGTGTAGATCAGCCTGCGGTATTCGAATTGCGATTGTGAACATCAAAAATGATTTACGGGAGGTTAATAGATGACTCTAAATGTGAATGAACAAGAACTAGTATCCTTGGCTAAGGCAGAACATGAACATGAAACCGAGGCCTCCTAGACGCCCTGCCTTATCTAACTCTGACGTCCTGGTCGGCATGTTTCTTATTCCTATTCTTCAACTTCTTCTTCTTCTTCTTCTTCTTCTTCTTCTTATTATTATTATTATTATTATTATTATTACTGTTATTTTATTTATTATTGGTGTGGATACGATTCTAAGTTAATAATAATAATAATAATAATATATTGTTTTCACCATTAATATTATTTTGACGATCGCTGCGTCTTGGGCACTCTATCCGCATCTGTTCCCTTCCCTTTCGATATCGCAAGCGGCCCGTCCTCCCCTCGAGTGCGCATTCATCGGGAGAAACCGCAATGAGAAGGCGGCTTATCGCACGCGGAGGGCGAGGGGCGGGGTGGCGCATCCCATCCCATCCCGACGCTGTTTGCCCGCGCGGTGCGCACTGCGCACTCTCATTGCGCTTTCCCCCGGCACAGTTCAGCGCCGGCGCACGCCCGCCCGCACGCCGCACGCCGCATGGCGCTTCGCTAGCGATTTCCTCGCCGGAGGATCGCCGTGGATGGACCGTAGATGCCTCCCGTGGGAGGGGTAAACTTCCACGAAACTCTCCTGGAAAGTGTTGGTGACAGAGCTTTGGAATAGTAGAGCTTAGGATACGGGAGTGTCCATTGTCGATATACAAGGAAGTGGCACATCTCAAAAATTGTAATTTTGCTGGAGAACCGTTTCATCGTCAGAATTGTATATTACTCGAGCAAATGCAAAAATATTTTTATAAACTATTTTTCCGACTTATCCGAATTCTTTTGTTATTTTTGCTGGTAAAAATACTATTTTTTAAAAGAATCTTCATATAATAGTAAAAACGTATTATTCGAATGTCACCTTTCTTGTGCTGGACTACATCTTTTGCTGGTGCCATCTTCCTGGAGGGATCTTGGCGACCTTTTACGGTGGGCTGGTTTATCGCTTTCATTTTCGCGAAGCATTAAAGAAATGTTGGCGTTGAGGATTATCTGGGGGTATGCTACGCCACAATCGCCTTCCAGGTCTTCCTTCCTTCCAGGTCTTAGGATTCGTGAAACCTTCCAGGTCTTAGGATTCGAATACAAAACCGGAGCTCAAATTGGTTGCAGACTGGTGTCCCCACCAGTTTGGCTGACATCTCTAATGAGATGTCCAAATCCGCTTCAAGCTTGAACTAATGAGAATAGGTCTTATTAATGGAATTGTTGAATTACTTCGTTTGTAGTAATTAACGTTAAAGAAAAGAAATATAATCTGAAGCAGACCAGTGTGGCCGTTGAGCGATAAAAACTCTTAACAAGAACTGTCCATCTGCATTTAAAAAAGGTCCACTGCTCGTGAAAAGATGGGGGAGGGGGAGAAAGGAAAAAAAACATCATTAAATGTTAACTTTGTCGTTTCTTAATATTTCGCCTAAATTCGTACATTGTTTGTTTCCAAAAAGTTCATAACGTTTTTCGTGATTCCGAAACCATATTCGCAGATCGCCGAGAAGGCGCGTAGTTGCAAACGCCCGCACTCAACGTCTTTCCTCTCGGAGGCTCCGTTCTCCCGCCCTCGCGCAGGAAGGCACTTTCGCCGTGAACCAAATTCGGGGTCGGAGCTGACATCCTCTCGGCGCTGCTTCAGCCCAACGCAGCGCTTTTCAGCCCGCCCAGGCGCCTCGACGCCCTCGCACTTTCACATCCGCCGCTGACATTTAATACACTCAGTATATATCACACGATCGAAAACGAAATAACTTTTAACGTCAAATGTATTTCGACATGACACCCGTTTGTCTGGTATGCCCATACCAGCCCTAAGGAAAACCATATCAAGATGGTCGAAACGTCGGCAACACAGCCTTCGACGCGGCGTCACCCGGACAGCCAAGACCATGCCCACAACTATTCCAAAATGTTAAAGTACACATTACTTCTGTGCTTGTATCCCATGAGTTTGTGCCCAAAACTATTTCCACATTTTGGAAGTGAATAAAATATATTGTCGCGGACGTTTGTTTTGAAATTATTATCGCGGTGTTAACATTTAATTGTTATTCGGATATTATTAGCTTATTAAAAAAAATAACATACAATTTTTCCAGTTGTGGCTCGATCTCCTTGAACACATCCTGGAAAATGTTCTTCTAGCAACAGTTAAATATTAAGTCAAACGACAAATACCCTTGCCCATTAAGGCCTGGAAGCCGCGCTTGAAACCTAGACTTAGAATCCAAATATGGCTTTTCCTACTTGGTTTCTGAGCGTCGATTAGACATTTCTGTTAATAATGTATAGTTTTGCTTGGTACGTCTCGAAACATTCTTGTTAGGTGGATATTGATGTCACGAGTTTTGAATGGTACGGCATTAAATAAGGAAGTGTCGGTTAAACGTGTTTAGAAGACTCAATGTCAGGTCGTGTACTCACGTGTCCAAGGTGAGCTTTCTATGGGAATTTTAAACCGGTTCTACGTGCTGCACTTACACGTTCTTCACTACTTGCGGTTGCTAGGGCACTCTGAAAACAAGCGTATGAACCGCACCTCTTGTTCATGTGTGAGAAACCTGACGTTCTCTCACTGTGCCTTGTACACGAACTACAATTTTTAAAGTAAAACTATTTTAAGTTACTAGGTCATTGTTAATTCGATCAGCAAGTAAGTTACAAATTACACGTGAGAACAGAACTTAGAGTAAAAAAGGAATTTGTATTGGTATATATTCTATTTTTGTTCGAAATAATGAATGTTGCCAATTTTGATGTAAAAATGGCTGTCAGAACATGATTCTCGTTCGCCCGATTTGGGCATCTACATTCAGAATCTTTCCATTCATTTGTTGAAGGTGTTCGTGGTGTATTATGTATACTGAACGTGAGATTAAAGTGCTGTAAAAAATTGTCAGAATACTTTAATTGTTTTTAATGGGAACCGCAAATGATCGGTCATCTTTCGTTGAAAAGGTAAGTTTGCCAAATGATATGAAAGTATGAACCTACGTTTAGGTATAAAAAGATTCTACGAAACTTTAAAGTAATAAATGTTCAAAATAACATTAAAGTATGTATTAAAAATATTGTTTATAATAAGTAGAAAAGGTTCGAATGGAACTTTTCCTGAATTGTCTGCGTTGTGATTATTCCGTAAAGTAACACGTCATTCGAGTCCTTAAAATGATTAACTTTCTGTTAATAACTTATTTCCTTCATTTATTTATAATCATACCAGCGATAGAGGTCTCAGAAAAAACGTCATTGGAATGTTCGTCAATATCGCGATGAAGACGACATTGACGCAGGGTGTAACGCAGCCGGGCTCGAATAGCAATAGCTGCCACCAGTACTCAGTGCGTGACGTCCACTCGGAGGCGTTGCCGTGCGGTAGCCGATGTTGATGGTGGAGACGAATTTTTCAATCTGAAATGTAGGTCTGTGGAATCTTTTTATTACTAGGTTCACTTGTAGTCCAACTAGTGTGCCAGCGGTGACGAGTTGTGCCGTGTGCGTAGTGATCTCCCCCTACGAATTCCTTGTGGTTCCGGACAGCCGGTTGGCTCGGAATGCAGAGGCGCCGACCTCGCTCTCTCCCGACTCGCGGAATCGCGACCGGAAGCCGGCAGATCGCGATGCGCCTTATCGCCGGGAGTGCTCGCGGTATCTCCGTGGACGACGCGGGGCCGATGGTGCTGGATTCCAGGTTCCGCACCGCTACGTGTTTTTGGGGCTCGGGCCCCTCGCGGTTTCGGCAGATAGCGTGCACGAGACGCACACGTCCATCAGATCGTGTCGTCCTGCACCGTGTTACTCTGCTGTCTCGTTTGGGTTGTAATGCGATGTATTTGTGATATCTTCACTTTCTCTGTACTACGCATGCAAAAAACCGTTAAAAATATATTTACGTGTAGTCGTTTTGAAAGTCTAAGGGTAAATATTAATAAATGTACTACTGCACTACTACACTAAATACAACATCAAATTCATATTTCACTCAACCATCCATATTGAATCATATCTTTCCCCGTAGTGAAATTGAATACATCCTTGTGTAAGGTGGTAATCTTGTGTACATGTTGAAGTAGCAAGACTTATTGGGGTAGAAGGTTCGCATTTTTGTCGATCTCTTTCCTGCGCCTCAGTGAGGAGAAGCCGCGAAGTGAAAACGTCGGGATCCGCTTTTTCTCCCGCTGCGACCTGGCGCATCGTCTCATGTGTCTCGACGAGCGCGTGCGTGCGCATGCATGAGTTCGCACGCGGGATATGTGGTGGCGATTCTCACGAGCACAAAGAGATGTCTCCGAATAGAGTTGTTAGTAGATTGCCCCAGGAACAGTTTACGGGAATTGGAGATTACGGCGAGAACTGGAGTACACGAATTCTCGGAATTCGATGCTTTCTCACCCCCTGGTGCTTTTTTTCGAGAGAGTGCTTCGGTTGTTTTGTCGGCAAAATGCTTTTTTGTGCCGTTAGTGGATGTGAAGTATCATTACGACTCGGAGGTGATTAAATGATATCAGTGTTCTATATATTTACCAGTCTAATGTATAGCCTAATTAGTTAAGAGTAACACTTACCTAGTGAGAAAATTAGGAAGACATGATCATTTTGGTGTCTTTTTGTCAATTCCTCTTGAAAATTTTTTTCGCAAAGATAACACCTCACATTTGACACTTTAATATTTTTGCATACTTATTTATTCAATACTTGTTTTGAGTATGATAATTTAATGTTATTTATTTATGAACCCTAAGTAATTTCTTATTTCTTCAAGCGATACATATAACACTTTTATTCTATTCGATTCGCTACAAAATGAAAGTAAATGCCGTAATTTTTCATTAAGAGCTAGAATACCTTGGATTTGGAAAACCTCGCGTCGTAAAACCTGCCTACTGTAGCGAACGCTACTGTTTATAATTTTTTTTTTTTTTCGATTTCATTGCGTACGGCGAAAAAGGAAGAAGCGGAAAAAAAGAATAAAGAAAAGAAGGGAAGAGATTATCATAAGTTATTTGTTAAATGCGA